ATGCCGTTTCAGCTCTTCGGCTTTTATCGCCTAAACGTTCATCAGATATCAGTCATAGCAATTACATATTAAGGCAGAGATTTTAAGGTTTATTCACTTAAGGCAGGCGTGTATTTTCCATGACACGTTTTAGGAATCGATGCATCGGATTAAAATTAAAATTAATAAAAATACTAGTGCATGCATAATAGCATTTTATTTAACTTAAAAATATAGTAAATTTCAATTTGATGGTCGAGTATTTGGTTTAGGCGTTGATGATCACACTAAAAACGGCATAAAATATACACAACGCAGAAAGGTGGATAAATGATGAGTACTAGCGTTTCAGCCCGTGTCACACGGCACGAAGATAAGGAGGATAATTGACCGACTTCGAAAATGCTTTTGTCGTTCAAACGGTTGGTACATTTACAGCGCCACAAGAAAAGCTTTAGGTTTATGCTTCCGGTATGCCAGTACTGATTGATGTCTACGTAGTTTGTTTGCGTTAGGGGCAACAAAGCTCATCCAATTAGCGCAGAGTTCGCCTTGAAGGCAAATCATTCTGTCCATCTTCAAGAAAGTCAATGATATATCGGCCGAAGCGTTGGCACTCGACAATCATCCATCCGGTTGACCAAACTGACTGTGTTGTGGATATAAGCAAATCGTGTTTTGTGCTGTTTTTCAATGATCAGTTTATTACATTCAATAGTTTAGCACCATGCACTGCCAATCCGGATTCGTTCAAAGTAATCGCCCGTCATCTTGTATCTAGTGACTTAGCGAATTCCTTAAGACTACGGCATCTGGGTATTACATCACCTACAGTGCATCAATGCAAAACCGCGTCAGTATGCCGAATAGACTAGACTTTATAATTTTTTGGGTGGGGGAGGGGGCAGAAAATAAATTACTGCTGATTATACGTGCGCACTTGCGAACCATGCCGATTCGAATGAATGCATCGTGCAGGTAGTATAAATACTACTGAAATGGAACCATACGCGGCCCGTTTTAAGAGCCCCCTAGCCACTGTAAGCAGAGTCGGTGAGATTACGCTTAGCAAATCCGAACATAACTCGTATAAGTTATGTTAATTGCCGCATCAATATCCGGCTTTTATTAACATATTCAAAATATCATAGGTGTTTTAATGTAGAACAAGTGCATGAGTATGCGACCACTTCTATATCCGC